CGGATCGCAGCCCCCCCCATCTACCTGTCCCTACGGATCGCAGCCTCCCCATCTGACTGTCCCTACGGATCGCAGCCCCCCCCCATCTAACTGTCCCTATGGATTACACATACACGCAGCAGCTGACTGTCAGCCCCCCCCCCACACACACAAACAGAGCTGACTGTCCCTATGGATTTCACACACACACACACACTCACAACTGTCCCTATGGATCACACACACACACACACACACACACACACACACACACTCACAACTGTCCCTATGGATCACACACACACAAAGTCCCTATGGATTTCTCACACACACACAGCTGACAGTCCCTATGGATCACACACACACACACACCCAGCTGACTCACACACGCTCCGGGAGGCTGCGGTCCCGGCAGCCGAGCGCTCCCCGCACCTCCCCTCCGGGACCCGCCTTGCCCCGCTCCCCTCCCTGCCGGCGGCGCCCCCAGCCCGTGTGTCCCGGCCCGGCGCGGCCCGGCGGGGATGCGAAGGCGGCGCCCCAGGACGCGGGGGAAAAACGGGGCGTCGAGCGGCTCCGGGCAGGGGGCTGCCGGGGGTCAGGGGCCCGCGGCATCCCGCGGCGCTTACCTCGCTAGGAGCGGCTCCCCGGCTGCGCGTCCCCACGGCCGCCCAGCTCCGCTGCTGCGCCCCCGGCCGGCGGAGTAGCCCAGCCCCAGCCGCTCGCCCTTTGTTTGCGGCCGGGGGCCGAGCCGGCGACGGGAGCGGGGCTGGGCAGCTGGCCGCCGGCCGGGGTGGCGGGGGGCTGGCGGAGGGGAGGGCTGGGGGCAGGTCCCTCCCCCCCCCCCAGCGCGGCGCATGAATGGAGACGGGCGCGCAGATTCCGGCGCGGGGGGAGCGCAGCGAGCGCGGGCGGCTGCTCCCCTCTGCAGGCGGCGGGGATTGTCCCCGGGGCGAGCAACCGGCCGGGCGCAGCGCCGGGGTTCCCGGGGGCTCGGCCCCCCAGCAGGGCGCAACGAGAGCGAGCCGGCAAGGGACCCCCGGGCCAGGCCGGGCCCTCTGCCACGGGACCCCCTCGCCAAGGGACCCCCGACCACGCCGGGACACCCGCCACGGGACCCCCCCCTGCCAAGGGACCCCCCTCCCAGGCTAGCCCCTGTGCCAAGGGACCCCTGGCCCGGCCGGCCCCTCC